CAAGAAACTAGGCCTTGTTTCTGCGTGATTGGTTGCTTCCACCGTTTGGAGAGTCGCCCATCCTGGGGCTGGAACGGGTCCTTTAGCTTGGCTGCACGGACCTTGGCACGAGGGGAGGGGGAGGGGGCAGAGCTGGACACATCAGTTGGTTGAATAGTAAACTATGCTGTGCTGTGTTCAAATTATATGCCTCATTACCAAGATAAGTTCCTGATGTACAAACTGCTTCATCGACTACAGCTATGGTGTTTTATCAGAATGGACAGATAAATGCAGTTGTATACTTTTGGCCGCAGAGTCCAATTCATTATGAACAGTTCCTTGTACAAAGGTAATAGTGAATACAATTCAATCATATGTGCGACAAAGAAAGGCGAGGGCTGTGTTAAACCAGCCTCACAAATACTTTGGCTTTTCAACATTACACTCAAAATAAAGGGACTGGAAAAGCCTAATACGTGGATACAGATCGTACCTACACCATACCAGTGCCCTAGAAAACGTCCAATTTACATCTTTGTCACGGAAGATCATGAAAGTTTGCAAGTTCACAGCATGAGGACGTCTGAACATGCCCTATGCTATATCCTCTGTAATGAGACCCTATCGCTCATTCCGAGGCTAATACCAATCACTTTCGACTCTTCAAGGACGAAGAATTCTATTTAAACGATGCGCCTAGAACCTTATATCAAATCCTAGGGAGCATGTCCTCAGAAAATGTCAATTTATTGTTCTCCAACCGGTTTCCATTTTAGGCGAACTGGAATGCGCACGGGGACTGACAACTTATGCGCAGACTGCAGTGAGCATAACTCAGACTGACTACTTCACGCTGAATGCCAGAAACTTCGAGCGTCTTCTCACAATAAAACGAGACGCTAATACGCTAGGAATTGTCAATAGCCGTGTTGAGGAACGCATACTGAATCAATGCTTCCAGCCGTCATTTCCTTATGTTCCACTACTGCAGTATTTTGCAACGGATATCCTTCACCTACAGAAAATTGTAAGGATGGTAAACGGGAATGTTTTTTATTTGTTTTTTGGACTTCGCTGGATTAATATCTAAATGAGTTAGAGTTTCAAAAACTCGTTTCAGGGCATATCACATCTACGATTAAATGAAAGTTTGTGCGTTTTTAAGTGCAGTTTACCAATATGTTCGTGTTTAATAGGACTTTCCACGTCAATTTAGCTTGCCTTTTTCGCAAAGCCAGACGGGAGTCGAGTATGGCTTCCTGTATCTGTCACCTTGTCAGATTTTGTGCAGTTCAGCCGTGTTTGTTTAAACTGCTATAAAAGATAGCAGCCGAGTGTCGTTTTTGTACGGGGTCCGTGGGTAAGCGAAATACTGTTTTACTGAAAAAATCTGCTCCCGGAAGACCAAGGTGGTGTTCCACGACACCGCGGAACCACCGACATGACCTTTGC